ACATCAAGATCAATGACCTTGTGACCTTCACTGTGACCTTTATGCTAAAGATATGTTGTTTTAAAAATTTGTTGCCGCCGGGCGCATAGTGTTTCACAAACACATCTTGTTAGCTTTTTCGTTTTAAGCGTGTATATTTCTTCTGATGTCAAAACTAAAGTGATGCATTTTTTTACAGAGCTTGGGATCTAAATTGTTTAAATTTTCATAGCTGAGTGTGCTAAATGGTGTGACTGCTGCGATTGTTGGATAGGAGGTACAGGCATCGATACTGATGGGGCATTGTGTCGTTATGTGTCAAGATGGATTCTGGGATGATTTAGATTGCATGTGCGAGATTGCATAAGTTTATTTGTGAGAAATTCTAATGCTTTTATAAAGTCAGATTTTTTAGATTGTATCATTTCAAAGAAGGTTTCTGAAGATTTTTTGTACGATGCACATGGCTAAATACACGTTTAATACCTAAGATGGTACAAGTTCAATCGATCAAGGAATCATTCACATGCTTAATACTATCATTTAGTAAAAAAAAAAAGGATTTCGAAAAAAAAAAAAAAAATGGATCGTCCGGGACGCGAACCCGATACCTCTCTCATGTGAAGCGAGAGACGTACCATTAGACCACAGAGCCTCTTTAACAGTGTGAGAATGATATACAAATATAAAGTAACATAGAAGTATATATTCACGTTTGATATTATCAAAATTTTACACAATGCATGGTGTCTAATTTAACCTTTATTAAACAGTTCTAATAGATATAATGAGAATATTAAGTCCACCGAGAATCTGTTTTATACGTAATGACTCTCCTCTTGCCCCTGTGCTAAAAATAGCGACATGTAATACAATAAATACTAATAAAACAAACGGGGCGGGACACTTTGAGAGGGGGAAAGAGGTCCTAGGGAGTTTTGGTATAAAATTACATTGCAAAAGCTCAAAATCTTCTTGAAATATCGCCCGAAAATGATCGTGTTTCATACAGACAGAATGTATAAATTTACGACCTTGAACTTTGACCTTTTGATCTCAAAATCAATAGGGGTCTTCCCTAGGCCACAGGGAGTTGTTATGTAAAATTTCATTGCAAAAGCTCAAAGGGTTCTCGAGATATCGCGCGGAAACGAAAGTGTTATAACAGACAGAATTTGCGAATTTATGACCTTGACCTTTCACCTTTTGACCTCAAAGGGTTCATAGGGTTCTTCTTTAGTCCATAGGGAGTTGCTATGCCAAGTTTTATTGCGGAAGCTCAAAGGGTTCTCGAGATATCGTGTGGAAACGAAAGCGTTACCGACAGACAGAAAGGCGGACGGACGGACGGACAGCTAGACGGACGGACGGACAGACCCAAATTAATATCCCCCACTTTTCAAGCGGGGGACAATAATCAAAACCAATGAACATAGATTTATGGCACAATGCTAATACATTTAAAGATAAGATATCCGAAGTAATGTATTGCATAATACCAGCTATTGATTTAAACAATCTGACAATCTCCGTTGTAAAAAGAAAATATAGATCTTTGTTACATTGTGAATTATTTGCTCAACATGTAAATCAACTTTGAAACAAACTTTATACATTTCATTTTTAATTATTTTAATAAAAAGCAGCATTGCTTTTTGAATTTTTTTTAAATTTGAAATCATATTCAACAAAAAGACATCAATTTGTAGAAAGACTTAACCCGATAATCTTTTTATTTAAATATTTAATTTGAAATTCCATTTAAATTTGTTCAAATTATTTTTTTAACGGAACCACAATTCTAAGTGTTGGTACGTGTACAATTAATTCCAATTAAACCATTTTTTTTCTGCATTGACAAACGTAAAATTAAACACTTCAATGTTCCTTAAATATACCTCTAACAATCGTTTGCCCTAGCTAGTAAACAAAAAAGCATTATTGTGTCTTTAAATTCCAATTAAAAGCGCAGATCTAAAAAAATTAATTTAGTTCTTATATTGATGATTTTCACTTCAATAAATATTTTGCAAAAGTATTGAAATAAATTAGTTTACATACCCTTGTGCTACATTTGCAATGCATGTATCCTATAATCGAAAAAAAAAAACAAGTTTTAAAAATAACCTAATTCTACGAATTGAAAATATTGGCAATGTCCCAATCATTCCTGATAGATATTTTTTTCGCTTCGATTTGATGCCCAGGTTTGTGACATCTCCTAGGTACTCCGATCTCCCCAAGTGCCTCTTTAAACCTATTTAAACCTTATATTTCTTAATTTTTTATGCTCAGTAGAAATGCATAATCTTTAAAGGACTTAAAAAAATTTACCTGTGTTATGAGAAATTCTTTTATTGCAAGATAAAGAATTGTTATATTCTTTAAATGTTTATAGACAATTGATTCACAGATTGATAAGATAGATAAATGATATATTTTAACGAAATATTTCACAGTGGAACTAAACAGATCTTATTCATATTCTTGTGTAACTCTGAAGTCAATTATTAATAAATAATCAATGCTGCATTTTGACCCTTTGTATACGTACATGTATTATGTTTCTACGAGAGTTTGCAATGCAGAAAACAAAGTATGCTACTTGTATATATTTACCCGTATTTTCAGTGAGGACTCTTCATATCCGCTGTAAACCCATTGTCATGATCAATCATTAAAAAAATTCAGTATGAAAATATTGGCCCGACTACATTATAAAAGCGTTCGTCGGATTCGACGTAACCAAAGACTGATTTCGAACAAAGTATTGACCATAGATGTAGAATTAAAGAAAATTTGCCTTTAATTAATATTATTGATAACCTTGTATCATTTTCATATTCATCAGTAGTCTATTCTGTGTAAGAAAGCCTTCTTGCAAAGATTATATTCCTGTGTATTAAATCAATTGCAAGATATATCAAAAACAGATACGTTAGACTTTCTTTATGAAATTATAAATGATATGAATGTTTATATTATAAGACTATTGCTCTTTAATTAGCGTCTTTTCTGAAAAGTAGCCTTGGATAGTACACAATACATACACCGACGAATGTCTTAGGTTATATATATTTTATATATTCATAAAAAAAGATTTGAATGCGCTAATTTAAATTTCGGTTAACTTAATGAAAAATCTTTTATGAAACAAAATACTACCTGTATTCAAATAAAAAAAAATCATTGATAGTAATTAATGTACAACTAAGGTCTTCGGATTACAGATCTCAGATTTATACTGACATCATAAAAAAATTCTAACACAAAACAAAGCAAAAAAGAAAAATATATATGCAAAAATGAACAAAATCAAACAAACATTTTGGAAATACAGTGTAATATCTTAAAATATTCGTGACCCCCTCCCATTTATTTCTTTAAAAAATGACTACTTTAAAACAATTCAAATATCACAGCAGTGACATGAAATGTCAAATCAGCAAATTCCTCGTCAAGTAAGTTTATAAATCCCATTTTGCTTGTTCGGAAGAAAAATGTTCTTCAGAATTATCTTCGAAAATCAGAAAATAGCAAAGACGACAAACCCTTATTATCGAGAAATCGAACACTAGGTAAATTGGCCTCTCATACAATATAAGAAGCTTATTTGAAACCTCAGTGGCACTTTTTGCCTCTACCTTTTAAATTACTGGTAGTTCTGTGAGACCTGGCTCCCTTTGTTTTCTTCATCTGCACTTCGATTTTGCTTTTCTCTTTTTCAATGTCTACAATATTTTCTTCCAACCTCCGACTCTTTGCAATCAGGTTTTCATTTTCTTTCACCAACAACGTGATTTTTAGCTTAAGAGATTCTTTGTCACTTTTCAGTGAATGCATACTGTCCTTAATAGACCCAAAATGTTCTTCTATCTCACTTAGATGCTCGGGTTGTGGAATCTGGAATGTTTCAGCGTACACCTTAAGAAATTTTTTAGTCTCCGTGTGCAAGCTTTTCAGTCGGCTGACTCTCTCCTCATTTGTCTTTTTTAAGGCAATAAATTGGGTCTGTAGATTTTGCATCATTTCGTTTGATTGCATCTCAGGATTGGATTCGATATTCTGTACTTTGGTCTTTAGATCTCTCAACTCCTCTTCCTTTTTCTCGTGTCCTTCTAGCAGCATCCTGTACCTTTCGTTGAGAAGTTCATAGTCTGTCTGTTTCTCTTTGAGGTTGCTCTTGAGAATCTCGAACTTGTTTTCAATTTTCTCTGCAATGTTTTCCATTTGAACCTTTACCGTTTCATTGCTTTCGAGAACTATCCCCATTTGCTTTTGGGCTGTCTTCTGCTCTGAAATGATAGAATCTATCTTCTGCTCTTGCCGCTCGTACATTATCTCTAACTTCTCCATTAAACGTTCCATAATATCAACACTGTGCCTCATAGCTGTATTTGATTCAATGCAATCTGAAGCTGCACCTCTGTTACACAATTCATCAGTCTGTAATAGTGCACAGAATTTACAAAGAAAACATTTTGATTACCTTAATAAATGGAGACTGATAATTATTAAGTTTTAAACAATTGGTATCGATGAATATTTACCATTGTCTGTTTATCAATGCAATTCCAAGTGAAGTTTAGGCCAGAAACACCAATATCTAAAAAGTAAAAGATGGTGAAGTTGAGTTTAATGTGAAAGTTTATTAAACATTTCTGTATCAAATTTTACTATATAGCGTTGATATAGAATACAGAATTACAAAGCAAATAAACACTGAACTTTTTGATTCCATATGTCATTTTGATTGTTTGATGATACAAAAATCAATGTCGAAACAGATCACTATCCATACAATATTTCAGTTGTTTTTAATTTGTTTAGTATATGTGTTATTATCACTGGGTTTACGAAAACTTGATTTGGATAGCTGCCCTCTGAATTCAGTACCTTGGGATTGGAGTTTAGAAGCTAGATCACTCTGACCATTGTTTATCAGAGCCTCAATAAAAGCTCTGAAATGCTTAGGAGAATTCTGTCGGAGTAAAATGTAAAGAAACTCCTCCGTCTTGTCCTCCTCGGAAAGATGTCCAGAATTCAGCTCCTCCCACTGATCTAAAGTGAGGGTGCCTCTTTCCACCATGTGGTCAGCGATGTCAGAGAGTCTGACTTGTGTCTTAAGAATATCCCACACAGACTGAAGATTACCCTGGTAAGATGCATCAACCTCGTCCATTAGTTCTCAATACCTTTATAAAATATATATAAAGAAATAGTTTTCTTTTCAAATAAAATCACGATGTTCTTCATCAGTTAGCATTACAATATGTCATGATATGAAAAATTAGATCATGACTTGAATACACATTTTTTACATTAGGTGTACATATTATGGTATCAATCATACCACAGATTTCGATAAAGCTTGGTATTTAATAAGTGAAAATGGTATAAATTTTTATGTCAAGCAGCTTTTGGTCAAACAAATGTGTATAAACGGATGTGACACATCTGTTTCATATTTGGATATTTTACTTGAAAAAGAGATTAATGGTTATCTAACAACCAAACTCTGTGATAATGTGATGACTTTAAATTTTCTACCGTCAACTTCCTTTACTTATGCCGCAATATACCCTTCCATCGCCTACATACAGAGTCTATATATCTCAGTTGATTCGATTTGCAAGAGCAAGCTTTACGTATGAATTATTTCCAAAAAGAGGTACATTAATGACAAACAAGTTGATGAAACAAGAATATCAGCAGTCTTGTTTGTTGTTCCTAGATTATAGAAATTTGCATATAGTTCCTTCTGTGTACTCAAGGCGTGGTGACAAGTTTTCTGTGTGTGTTATAGAAATTTGAATGCCGTGGATTTCTAATGAATTTCATAAGTAAAAATATACGGAATGTAAATATTTACTGTTAAATCACATATTTTTGTGGGGTCAAATTTTCGTTGTTTGAAGAAAAACTCTTGGTTTGAGGGGATTTGATTTCATTAATGAAGAATTGTTGAGTAGTTACGCGTGCAACATTTTACCTTTCATGGTTGACATCCATTATTGTGTCTCTTCATACCTTATAAACAATCATAATTAATTCCAACGAAAATTGGTGATTTTACAGTCTGTCAAAAGTCACAATATGACCGACGTATAATTTTTAAAAAAATGTAATTTTAAGATTATTTATTGAAAAGACATTTTGTTATTCTATTTTCTTTTCTCCTTTAACAGGAAAAATCCATCGGCTCATGAATCTCCTGCACAGACGTCTCAAGTGTATGTATGTTCTTTGCTTTGTTTAATCTTGAACCAGCCACGGTAGCCTCGCAATAAGGTACTCACTATGTGATCAGGGGTCTGGAAGTATTTCTAATCTGTTGCATTTTATCAAACATACGACGTGAACAAGGAGACAGGCCATCCTTCTCCAACAGTATTAAAACTGAAAGTCAAAATCCCTTGTTACTGTAGGTTTTGGCATGATAAAGAACCCTAAGTGCTATATAGGCTTTTAATGATTAATAATGGTCTAAAGTTAAGTCTTTTTATAAGTTTAAATATTCAGGATGTGATGCAAATGAATATACACAGTGACTGTACAATAAATCAATATTTGTGTTTGATATCACAAGATAGAAAGTTCTTGATATCATAAGATAGAATCTTCCATTTTAGGACTCAGGCACAGGTGGCAAAGATTGCGGAACCTTCCCTATATCAGAATGTTTCTAGTGAACCTATTGATATAAATGAGTTGAGAAAGAAAAAACCTCACATAGCATTGAAACCATTCTGTGAGGCATCCCCTTTCACAGAGAAATTAGAAAAGGTGAGAAATACATTATATATGAACAGGTGCCCTATTAAGCAAAAGCCTAAATGCACATTTATTGAATAAGGTCATTGAAAAAAAAGCTGATAATTTATAAGGCAAATCTGTTGTATTTTATTTTTCTTTAGAAAACAACAAACATCTGACGAGTATTTTAATAAAAAGAATTGAAAAATGATACAGTTTGAATTTTTCAAATGGTGTACATTTCATGGTATATGGAGTTAAGTATTGTAAATTTAGCTTTTAAATGATTTTAACGTTTTGTATTCAGATGTGACGTTTTCTTATCCTGTTTAAGTAACTGTTTGATTTGAAATGACAGGATACTTAAGGCGTAGACAAATCATATAAAATACTATGTACTTATAAGACTATACGTATTTGTAAAAATTTACCAGCACGTTTGAAACAATACGAAGTGACAATGTGCTGGCGTTAAACGTCAACGTGTTGTGAAGCTGTGTAAGCGACCGAGCGTGATTGCCTTTGGTACTGAAATGATGGATGATCTTTTGCTCGTTGTTTAAAGTTGGTGTTAAATTGTGACCGTGTGTTGTGTGTTCAGGCGACGAATGAGCTATATTGCGCCTGCGTGTTTTCGCTAGCGTTGTCACTTACAAAGAACAACGTGCAGCTCCCTTCTGAAAAACGCGCTATCACGTTGTCACTTTGCGCTAGCGTTTTGTTACACCCCACTAGCGCTTTGTTCCTAACTCGTGGTTACAAATTTGCAAATGACTCTATCGGGACATTATACATATTTGTCAAATTTCCGTATTTTTGCTATTTTATTTCCAATTCTTATAAGGGTTTAAAGGGAAAATATTTTCGTTCAGATTTTAAATATTCTTATTTTTCCTGTAACAACCGCTTGTACTGACTCGATAAAGCTCACCTAATGAACAAAGGTTTATTCAGTTAATGGCATTATAAAGAATCGCCCATGTGTTTCGACGGTCTGGAAGGTTTACTACGTCAACCCTGTCTGCTGTTACACTTTTAGCTCACCTGAGCCGAAGGCTCAAGTGAGCTTTTCTGATCAAAATTTGTCCGTCGTCTGTCGTTGTTGTTGTTGTTGTCGTTGTCGTTGTCGTCGTCGTTAACTTTTCACATTTTCGATCTTCTTCTCAAGAACCACTGGGCCAATTACAAGCAAACTTAGCAAAAAGTATCCTTGGGTGAAGGGGATTCAAGTTTGTTCAAATGAAGGGCCACGCCCTTTTCCAAGGGGAGATAATCATGAATTAGAGAAAAATTATTGGCATTTTTAAAAAATCTTCTTCTCAAGAACCACTGGGCCAGGAAAGATGAAACTCATGTGGAATCATCCTCAGGTAGTGTAGATTTAAGTTTGTTCAAGTCATGACCCCCGGAGGTAGGGCGGGGCCAAAATGGCCGATCAAAGTTTTACATAGGAATATATAGGAAAAATCTTTAAAAATCTTCTTCTCAAGAACCACTGGGCCAGAAAAGATGAAACTCATGCGGAATCATTCTCAGGTAGTGTAGATTTAAGTTTGTTCAAATCATGACCCCCGGGGGGAAGGCGGGGCCAAAATGGGATAAATTTTAAAGGAAAATTTTAGGAAAAAAATTTTTAAAAACTTCTTCTCAAGAACCACTGGGCCAGGAAAGATGAAACTCATTTGGGAATTTCGGTAGTGTAGATTTAAGTTTGTTAAATCATGCCCCCAGGTGGGCGGGGCCAAAATGGCCATCAAAGTTTTACATAGGAATATATAGGAAAAATCTTTAAAAATTTTTTCCCAAGAACCACTGGGCCAGGAAAGATGAAACTCATGTGGAATTCCCAGGTAGTGTAGATTTAAGTTTGTTCATGTATACCCTGGGGGGGGGCCAAAATGGCCGATCAAAGTTTTCATAGGAATATATAGGAAAAATTTTTAAAAAAATCTTCTTCTCAAAAACCTTAAAACGGAAAAATGAAACTATGTGAAATTATCCTCAGGTAGTGTAGATTCAAGTTTTTCAAGTCATACCCCGGGGTAAGGGTGTGGCAAAAATGGCCGACCACAGTTTTAATAAAAATATTGGGAAAACCCTTTTTTAAATCTTCTTTTCAAGTACTTAAAGCCAGGATTAGTAATATTCTGTATATGAAATCATCCTCAGGTAATGTAGATTCTAGTTTGTTAAAAATGACCCCTTGGTGGTTAAAATTCAAGCCCCCCCCCCCCCAGTAAACTTTTAGTTCTATTGATATGGTTTTTTTTTCCCAGCTGATGTGTCAGGTGACCTTGGGCCCCTGGGCCTCTTGTTATTGTATCGCTTCATAGATTCAACTTAAAAAAGTAATAAATCTGCTGAAAAACTCGATTTTGATGTAAAATGTAGTATATGATCAGGATAAAAAAGGACATTTTTTTTTGAAATGTGATTGTACTATGTGGGCTCAGGTACAACTGTACGGAGGCTCGGCAAGTCTTGTACTCTATCCTACCTCAATCTCACGTTACCTGAAAGACAGTAACCATGTGTTACAAATATTTCTTATGTTCTTTTTTTCGCCAATTATATTGTAAATTTATCTTATTAAAATCACCCTTTTTAAAGTGCTTAAATTATAATTCACATTTGATTTAAAAAGTCGCAGACAACTGTTGCATCGAACCTTAACATTAATATAATATTAAATGTAAAGGGTTCTTTTAATTTTAATTATCAAGAAAAACAAACATCTATTACCTCTTGAAAAAAATGGGAAAAATTGTCAGACAACTGTCACATTATAAAAAAAACTGCCTATGAATTTTAGATTGAATTAATTTTTTTTTGTTTTTTATCTTCAGACCTTAGAAAAGTCACAAAGATCAGAAATCCCTGATGGTAAAAAAAACAAGGTATTGTTTTAAGGAATTAACTAACCTTACACTTGAGTACTAAGATTTCTTCTTTACTTGCTTATGGTAAAAAAAATTTTTTTCAATACAGTCCCTGAAAGTTTACTTTCCCACCTGAACGGGGAACGAAGCTGAACGAACGCTGAACGAACGCAGAGCAACGGTGAGTGAACGATGTAACCTGAACGCAACTTGGTAACGATATGTGAACGGGGAACGGTAGTGAACGCAGAACCAAACGGAGCGCAAACGCGGGGGGAAAAGTGAACGGTGAACGAACTGTGATTGCAAGATGAAGGATTTATTCGGAATGCCTCCGATCTTTTCCTTGCATTGAAATTATTCTATTATTCTATAATTCTAATTTCAGGTGTTTAATATAAAAAATTTAAAAATAGATAAA